GAGCCCTTCCCTGAGTGCCCCTGGGCAGGGGCTTGGAGGGAACAGCCCCGTCCTCCTGCATCCTCTGGGCCTGAGCCCTGCTGAGGCTTGACCTGTCCTCTCTCCTTTTTTGACAGTGCTGTCAGAGCCCAGAAAAGCCAAAGTATACGACATTTCTCGGTCAAACTCAGGTACTGAGCAGAGCTGCTGGGGTCCCTAAGTGGGAGACACGTCCCCAAAGCTGGGAGGGGCTGCTGGAGAAAAGGCAGAAGGGAAGAGCAAGGCTGCAGCATCTCCTGCGAGACGTCCCCTCATGGTGTGGGAGCTGGCCTGGGGGGAGGAAGGCAGGGAGGGAGAGTTGGGGCTGTCACTGCCGGCTGCAGGGACGGGTTGTGTGCGTGTCCACCAAAGGAGCCACTGGTCAAGCAGCTGCGCTTCGCCCCGTGCTCTCCTTCTGGCCCTTGGAGTTGGGTTCAGTGGGACACCCTGGTGCCTCCAGGCGCCAGCCCTGGGGGGACACAGAGACCTTCCTGGACATATCCAACGTGCTGCAAGCCCAGCGGTGGTGCACAGGACGGGCTAACGTTCCCAATTGCTCCTCCAGATGACATCAGACAGGAAATAACTGCTGTTCCATTAACCAAGAGCACGGCAAAGATTATCAATCCAGAAGATGTCCAAATGAGGTTGATCATTGGCACAGTAGTAGCCCTTGGTTTCCTGCCCTTGGCAATGGTCATCTGCTGTATTGCCATTCTCAAGTGGTGGAGAAAGAAAATGAGGTGAGTTCTGGTCTCAGTGTCAGCCTCTGCCGCTGTCAGGTGCCTTGGTTGGCCTCAGCTCCTGGGCCACCTTCTGGGGACCCCACTCTGCCTGGAGCCAGCCTTAGCGCTGACCCTTCCTGGACAAGAGCAGCCCCAGGAGCAATGGGCACAGGCCTAGCCAGGTGAGGAGGAGAAGGAGCAGGCCGTGGGATGGCCCTGGGAAGCCAGAGGCGCAGTAGTACCCGCTCCTACCCCGGGAACCTGCCCAGAGGAGTCCCCCTGCTCGGTGGTGCCAGGAGGAGCAGGTGTCCACCAGGGCCAAACCATTCATGGGGGTCAGCCCTGCCAGCGCCAGACCGGCCGTGGAGGACGGTCCCTGTGTCCCACCTGCAGCTGGGGCCTCAGCAGCCTTCTCTCTCCACAGGGACACCTCTGCAGCTTCAGAGGTCGGGATGGAAGCCGGCAGTCACCCCCAGCACCCAGAAAAACCGTCCAGCCGCCCTGACACCCCAGGAACCCCAACCCAACACTAGGAGCTGCCTCTCCAGCATGCGTCACCGGCACGGCCACCCTCCCCGGAGCCCTCTTGCCCTGACAGCCCAAAATCCCCAACTAGTGCTGAGGGTCTTCCAGTGTTCCTGCAGGGACCGTTCTCACCAGGGCCTCTACACCCAACAGCTCCGGCTGCGGAGATTGACTCAGGGAGCTCCTCTGGGATCCCCCACACCTTGCAGGGTAGGAGACCAGACCCTTGCCCGCAGCGCCATGCCTTTGGCTCTGGCCGCCACCCCAAGGTCAGCCCGCGGCTCCCTAGGGGTCACTGCTTCTCCCGCTGGTCACTGCTCCCCAGGTGGGCTCAGCTCTGGGAGAGGCTGGCCAGGGTGGCCGGGCTCCAGCAGTCCGTTGCCCATGCAGTGGCTGGTGCCCCCGCTCCTGGAGGGCTGCCTCACCATTGCTCACCACTGTCTGCCCAGAGACAGGGACGCCGTGCTCAGGTCCTGATCCTGTCTCACAAGGTTGTCACTCGGTCTGTGCCGTGTGGCCATGGCCACTCCACTTGGTAGGAGCCACGCTTCCTCCTGCTCCTACTAAGTGAGAAACATGACACTAAAACATGTGAGAAAACAGGATGTCTCAAATCTTGATTGCTGCAAGATATCTACCACCTGTCTACATGATAGAACATCAAAGGAGGGACATCCTTGGATCTCAAAGACGCTATAGCTTGTTTGCACCAAGAAACTCCTCTGCAGCTCATCTGCCGTGTAGGCCCCAGCACTGCCCAGGGGCAGAGGCAAGGGGGGCTCACACAGCAACCATGTGGGACAATAATTGGACAACCATAGGTCACTGTCATGTTGATTGGTGAAACCATGAGTTGAAAGTGACAATAAATTACTGATGCCCCTCGCTGCAAATGGGACCCTCACCACCATTGATCCTCATCATCGTTACAACTCAAGAGACCTCAGAATCCCGGATCAATGGGACGCTCTTGACTCCGAAGGACCTTTAAGTCATTGCACTAAGGCGGACTGAAGGAAACCAAAGCGGACCTGGTGGCAACCTTTCCTGCTTCGCTGTGTAATACTGCTTCTCTTTTCATTCTTTCCTTTACCTCTGCCTTCTCTATATCTCCATTAAGCATTATTTTAAGGAAACAGTAGGAAAGCTACAGCAAACAGCATCTGACCTCGTTTGTGTCTTAATCGCATGTTCCGAATAATTTTGAACCCCTCCCGGACCAATCAGACCAGGACCTTGCATCCTCCTCCCATCCTGCTGCTCCCGCAGGACTTCTGGCACCAGGGTGCCCCCGATGTCCCCATCCCCGGTGCCCACCATCAGTGCTGGGATTCGGACAATACCTGGGGCTCTGTCCCCTTGTGCAAGGAGGAGCTAGAGTTTGTCTTCTGTATCGTTGCTATCCTGACTGTTTCCCCACCATTCTTCTACTCTTACAACCACCTCTGGGTCAAACAGCTTCTCCTGGGGGAGAGCTTTTGCGGTCCCTCAATAAGAATTCTTCGCTCACCATCGAGGGCTACAAAAATGATGAGGGACCGGAGCATCTCCCTGCTGAGGAAAGGCTGAGGGATGAGGGGCTTTTCAGCCTGGAGAAGAGCAGACTGAGAGGGAACCTCATCAATGCTGAGCAATAGCTAAAGGGTGGGTTTCAGGAGGATGGGGCCAGACTCTTCTCAGTGGTGCCTGGGGACAGGACGCGGGGCAACAGGTACAACAGGGGAAATTCCTTCTCAACATGAGGAGAACCTTCTTTCCTGAGAACCTTCTTTCCTGCACAGGCCCAGAAGCCCAGGCCTTCCATCTCACTTTCTTGGGTGTCTTGGAGAAGTACCGTCTCATCAAGCTCTCAATAATTCAAGAACCTTCTTTCCTGCACAGGCCCAGAAGCCCAGGCCTTCCAT